GCTAGGGGCTTATTTACCTACAGAGAGGATTACACTTTCACAGAAAAGATTAGGCATTTACAGAAAGGATTTAAGGCAGAATACAAAGACATAAAATGCCAGATTATCTTAAAATAGAAAAGGAAGCCAGAAAAATAGAATGTGAACATACAGTAGTGCCAGGATGAAGCTAAAAATAGATACTTGCTAAAAGTAAGCCCTAATTTTCATTCAAGTGAATTTCATTCATAATTTTCTAGCCATGAAGCAATAAACATAGTAGTTATGCAGTTAACAATATATCCCAAAGAAACAAAAAGAAACAGAATAATCATTTCAGAATAAGATATTTGAAACTAAATTCATAAGAAAATTTCTCCCATAGATGCCACAGAGTTGTTAATACTTTATAATGTTACATCTAGATATATCTCTAGAAGGCTTTCTGTTTTGAGGAGAATCTTCTTCCCATTTGACTGTTGGGTTTCTCTTTCTCTTGTTTTTCTTCATTTTCTTATTTTTTGTTTTCTATTTCTTTTTCATTTTCTTCTCTTCCCCTTCTTTCTCCTTTTTTTTCTTCTTACTATGGGTGGTTGGTTGCCCATGTGCTCTTTCCCCAAAGTATTAAGGACTTTTGGCCATAGCTTTTTTAAAAATTGCAATTTTGGGGGGATTTGGTATAGGTACTGCTTTTATCGAAAGAAAAATATAATGCTTTCGTTTTTATTTTTTTATGCCCTGGAACTGTTTAATTAGCATTAGAGATATCCTCTCATTGACATGTTTGTAGACCGGTCCTTGAAATCATCAGTCTGTCATGGGACGGGGGAGAAAAGCTGGGTAGTAATAATGATTATAAGTCTTTGACAACTTTATTTTTTCCAGATAATTGACTTGTTTAAGTGTCTCTTTATATGAGCATTTTCGGTGATCTATATTGTCCAGTTTTTAAATTTAATTGCTCATATATCTTTATTTTTTAATTTTTACAGATTTATGAGTCCAAGTGCAGTTGCGTTACATGAATATATTAGGTCACTGGGAAATCTGGGCTTGTAGTGTACCCATAACACAAATAGTATACCCAACAGCTGGTATTTCATCCCTCACTCCCCTCCTACCATCCTGCCTTTTGGAATCTTCATTGTCTATTATTCCACTCTGTATGTCTACGTGTACACATTTTTTAGTTCCTACCTATGAGTGAGAATATTTAGTTTGGACTTTGTGTTTCTGAGTAATTTCACTCAGGATAATGGTCTCCAGTTTCATCTATGTTGCTGCAAAAGACATGACTTCATTTTTTTTATTCCATGGGGTGTGTATGTGTGTGTGTATAACATTTTGTTTACCCAATTATCCATTGATAAACTCTTAAATCTTTCAATTTCTCTCCCTCCCCTTTTTCTTTGAGTCAGAGTCTGACCCAGGCTGGAGTGCAATGGCACACTCATGGCCACCACAGCCATAAGCTGCTAGGCTCATGTGATCATGCCTCAGCCTTCCAAGTAGCTGGAACCACAGGCATATACCACCATGCCTGGCTAATTTTTTTATTTGTTGTAGAGACAAGGTCTCACCAAGTTGCCCAGGCTGGTCTGGAATCCCTGCGCTCTTGTCTCAGTCTCCCAAAGTGCTGGAATTACAGGTGTGTGCCACCATCAACTTCCTTTATATCTGTACTTATTTTCTCATTTTAATGACTTATTTTATATATTTGTACTTTTTGTTTAGGTTAACCCTTGATTTCTCTATTTCATTTTTTTTTTTTTTTTTAAAGAAAGCAGGATTTATCAAGAGGACAGAAAAGCTTTCACAATGGGAGGGAAACTGAAGGGGTTGCCCCTCATTGTTTTTATTTAAAATAATCAGCTCTTTTATAATTAATTAATTTCTGACCTTATCTTTTTAAATTATTTTGCTTAGATTTAATATGTTCTTATTCTCTGAATTGCTAAGCTTGATTCATTTTATTGATTGATTGATTGGCAACTGAGTCTCACTCTGTTGCCCAGGTGGGAGTGCAGTGATACAAGCTCACCATAGACTCACCTTCTTGGATTCAGGTGATCCTCCCTCCTCAGCCTCAGATTAGCAGGGACTACAGGCAAATGTCATCATACCCAGCTAAGTTTTTAATGTTTTTGTAGAGATCAGATTCTTGCTATGTTGCCTAGCCTGGTCTTGAACTCCTGAGTTCAGACAATCCTTTCATCTTAGCCTCCCAAAATGTTGAGATTACAGGCATAAGCCACCATACCTGGCTTTATTTTATTTTTTTATTTATCAAAATAACTTTTTGAATGTTTTGCATACATTGAAGTTAAATTTTTGGTATAGTAATATTCATGATGCTATATCTTGGTTGCAGTTTGTTAGCCATATCATTTCAAGGACTTGTGTTGAATTTTCCCCACCCCAAAGTATGTTGAAGTCCTAAACCCCAGGACCTTAGAATATGATGTTATTTGGAAATAAGTTCTTTGCAAATGAATTCAATTTAAGATGGGGTCTTGAAGGTGAACTCTAATCTACTATGACTGGTGACCTTATATAAAGGGAAATTTGGACACAGAGACAGACATATACACACAGGAAGACACCACATGAACAGAGAGGTAGAGAGTGAGGTGATGTGTCTACCAGCCAAGGTACACTGATCACCAGCAAATCATCAGAAGTGAGGTGAGAGGCATGGAACAGATTTTCGCTTATTGCCTTGGAAGGAAACAGCCCTACCAAGACCTTGATCTTAGACTTCTAGCCTCCAGAGCTTTGAGGCAATAAATTTCTGTTGTCGAAGCCACTCACTGTGAGTACTTCTCATGGCAGTCTCAAGAAACTAATACAGGCTACTTGACTTCATTTAATGTTTACTGCACTGAATCCAAACACGTGATATTAAAATTGTACTCTCATTTTTTTGTCATTTGCCTGGCCTTTGACAATTCCTTTATTTTCAGCTTTTAGTGCCTCTTGAATCTTAAAACATAATCAGATCACATCAGCTCAAGCCTTGAGACCTCACTAGCCACCCTTTACGTGAGAATGTAGTGATTCAATTTGAGTGGCCCAGCTCCTTGAGTCACCAGACACTGCACCACTCCCCAGCCTCGTCTCAGTCCTCCCTCTCCTCTCCCTCCATTGTCCTTAGGACAGGAGCCCTGTTTTGGTACTTGCAGTTACCTGAGTTCTTTACTTCCTCTTACCTGTTCTTTTATCTGAAACCCCTTCCCTCTATTCTTCAGTTGCTTTGTCCTTCTTGTTCTTTTTGAATCAACTTAAATCATACCTTTTTAGAGATTGCTTCTCTGGTCACTGTGTCTAACATGATCTCACTCCATAACCTCAAAACTTCACAAACACATCACCCGTGTTTCCCTCATAGGATTGATCATCATCCGAATTAATTTCATTTATTTATACAAGTATGTATTATCTCCACCTCCACAAGAATTTAAGTAGAATTTAAGACTCTTGCCTTCCTTTTTCATTATATCTAGAGTGTCTCCTGGCATGTGTTGCCAAACAATAAATATTCATTGAAAGAAGTAAAGGAGTGACAAAGGAAGGAAGGAAGGAAGGATAGAAGAAAGGAAATCTGTAAGCTATTTTCTTTTCTTTTCACTCTTTCACAAACGTTTGGGACCCCTAAGAGTTTCAGCTATGCTTTTCATTGCTAGGGTATCTTTTCTAATGTAACTTTACTCCATGCCTCCGGATGTTCCAACCAGATAATTAAATAAGTAATTTTTATTGGCATGCAATCAATGATCAGTTCTTTCCCACCCACTCCCCACATGCAATGCTTATAGGGCAGATGTCATAAGCTCCCTTGGCCTCACTCCTGTGACCTTGCATCCACTATTCTCAATATTTTCCTCATTCAGTTAAACATAATCTCAACATTAAAGAGATCTTAACCAAGAAATCTCCGATATAACCAGAGAGAATCACAAAATTCTTCTGCAACAGATCATACAGGGACTTCAGGAAAAGAGGCCAAAACTTTAGAAGACAGAAAAAAGAGAGGCATATTTCCAGATGATTCATTCCTTGCAGCTTTTAAGAAAGCAGTTTTACTTATATACTTCTGAGCAAGGTTTAACAAACTGTAATATCTGAATTAAGCAACATTAACTAGAAAAGAGTCATGTTTTTGCTAATTACAAAAAGCAGAGGATAATCTCTAGCTCACATGAACCTACTTCCACCATAGCACCATCTGATGGCAGTATACTCCAAATCACAGATTCTTTTTTATGTTTCAGATCAAACTATACTACTGAAGTGATATCATTCATTTATGGGGCATCTGCTATTTCCAGACAATGGAATATAAATGTTTCTATCACATAGCCTGTTCTCTTAAGGGCTCACTGTGAATTGGGTAGACAGGCATGTGCACAGATAATTTTATTAACAATGTTCAATGAATATTGAACAGTGTTCAGTGAATATTACAGAAGCTAGAAGAGGGACTCAGACTAATATGGAGGTAAGGTTAAGATTCCGAGGTGATGATGCCTGAACTGAGTTTTAATATGTCCAAATGTGTGAGATTAAAATAGGAAGCAAAATGGCAAAAATCAGAGAGAGACAATAATAGTTTGTGTAATGAAGAAAAGAGGTCAATTGGAATCAAAGAAAGAGAAAGTAACTGTACATTTCAGGTCAAATTAGTTTACTAGACATGTTTTAAAATATCTATGTGCACAGCCATTTACATCTGAAAGGAGAACACAATGCACACAAATTTTGCTCTTACCTTCCAACTGAAAGACTGACAACAAATATAACATAAAATGCCAAGTAATTATATTCACTCTAGAGGAAAACAAAGCAGAATAATGAATAAAGAGCCGAAGACATGGGGAGATGAGATTGGGAGGTAGTGGTATGTCAGATAAATCATCAGGGCATACTGGTTGCTTACCTGAAGAGACCCAGTTATATATACAAATTATAAACATACTCCTGGCTGAAGTTTGTTAGCGAATGAACAATGAAAATGTGCTTACCAACACTTTCCCCTCAAAGGTCTGGGCTGAAAGCAACATTTGTACACGGTCACGAAATGCTCCATGTAAATGAAGTTTATTTAGACAATTATAACTGGTGGTGTCCAATAAGAATAGACTCTACAAGCAAGAGAAAGAAATTGACAGTGAGAGCTGATCTCAGAAAAATTAATGTTTTATGTTGTTATAGCCTCTTGTTATAGTATTGGTTGAAAATCACTCTACCTTGTCCAACCCAAGGAATGCTTAGGGTGCTTATTCAATATGTCATAGAATAACTTCGACTGAGTTTTCATCCTACTGGTTTTCTGCACAGTTTTTTTGTACTGAATTCTACAGTTTTCATCCATGCCTGTCTCATATATGTTCATGCCCAGACCCTTCAAACTGGCATCACTACAATGGCAAGGAATGGGAGCAGCATGCTTCTTTCTGCTCTGGGAATAAGTGCTTTAACGTTTTCCATCAAGATACATGGACAAAGAAAAAAGATTATAAATTGATTTATAGGTGATTACTTAAGTGTCTGCATTTAAGGAAGAAAAAAGGAAGGAAAGTTTCAGCAATTTTATATTGCTTTTAGTTCGTCATCTTGTGTTCTTCTGAAATTAGACTCCCTCCTCAAATTTACAGAACGTCTGTTTATTATGTTTAAATTTTATACTAATCTTTTGTGGTAAATAAAGTGTGGATAAATAAAGTTTATTATTGATACGCAAATGAAGATACATAGAAATTAAATGACTTGTCCAATATCAGGCAATAAGGGAAGGTCGAAGTCTGAGTTAGTGTCCACTGTTTCCTGATAATCATCTGCTGGAGACCCGCTCCAGACGAGAGTCAGGGCCTGAGGCGAGAGAATCAGTGAAGAAAGAAGGCACAAGTCGAGTTTCTGGGTCGAGTTCAGGATTCTTTCAAATTTTATTCAATCTTCACATGCTTATATAGGGCATTTTTAACCTTTAACTCCCTCACATATGTGTCCACAAATGCTTACATCACGTTTTCTTTTACAAGTAAACGTTTTACAATGATCTATTTGTTTCTCCCTGTCCCTTTTTGTTCCCATTATGTTAAAACCAATAGACAGGAACGAAACAACATCTGCTAAAAATTATTAACTGTAATCTTTTAACCCTCACCCCTTTTATAACATATTTTTAACTAAATTCTTATATGTAACTTAGCAGCAATATATTGGCGTTTACATTTATAACTAATTTTATTATTTTTAAATTATTTTTATAAACTTTTTTATGTATCTATCTTTATTTTTATTTTATTTATATGAATCATAATCTAATAATATTTAACAACCTTTATATAAATTATATTTAACTACTCATATTTTATATTTATTTTTTATTTAATTTTATTTTATCTAATTATTTTTAATCATTATCCTATTTTATCTATATAACTATTTTATTTTATATTATTATACTTATATTATTAAATCATTTTAACCTTATAAATTTATATCTATTATTTCTATACTTTTAAAAATTATGTTTAAAAGCAGCTGCCCTCAGGATCGACCTGTCTCAGTTTTTACAAACTTCCTCCTCCATCTTACCCGTCTAAGGTGTTATTTTTGTATAGGGTCTGTTAACCATTAGAAATAAAGAATGGGGAAGTTTTTTATTTTTTTTATACACAGTAGAAGGTAACAAAACATTCTCTAGCGTCTAATGGCTGCTTTTGCTGTTGTTCCTTTCTCATGTTTCAAGCTGTAGTTTCACTAATATATCATCCTTGCCTACTATTAGTTAATGCTTTCTTTGTCACCAGAAAGGGGTATTTTCTGTCTTATGCATGCATTCCTTAAGATCAAAGGGGCCCATCAACAGGATCCATGGGGCTTTGCCTCCGGCATGGCCGCTTTAGCTGGGGCCTTGTTTCCAGCCAGCGTTTTTCCCATATTTAGGTAGCCTTCACTTTGTCATCTGTTAGGAGTTGCGGCTCCCGACAATCATCCAGAACTAACACAAAGAAAAAACGCTAACTAGGACTGGCCACATTAAGCTGACTGAGTCTCTCTGACTTTCAGAAAAGCTCATTTTATGTGGAGGTAAGGTTTCAAAATCACTTGATTTTTCTACTTGTATTTTCTGAATGCTAAGAAGGGAAGTCCCATTTAAGAACTTTTTGATAGAGTTCACACCTTGATTAATGATTTGTCCTCTAATACACATGACTTATCATGTGTGTTCCTTAGATGTTATCTGAGAATTATTTTTTTTAAATATTAAGTATGACATTAACATGGAACACTCATTTGAGTTTCATTATAAAATTGGAGCTATCTTCTTTGGAAAAACAAATTGGTCCCACGATATAATAAAATTATACTTTTGAATGCAGTAAATCTTTTAAAATGCATATATAAGGAGAAAAGTTGTAACTAATTTTTAAAAGAATTCTTCACAGTATCTAGATTTGTGACATTTTTGCATTTGGTCAACTTTTCAGAGGCTTAGAGAAAAACAGAGAACTCTCAATTTAATTAAATGTAACAAACTATTGAAAAGCATCTCAACTTTGATCAAACTCTTCAAGACTTAAAAGCAGAACAATATAGCATTTTGATTGCTCAGACCTCACTTCTTAACATTTTATAACATTGGCTTAATATATAAAATTAAAAAGTACAACTGAATTGAGGTATAGATATGAATTACACCCAAAGTAAGAAATTAAAAATATGGCAAATTGATAAATGAGTTCTCACATTTCTGTAATCACATAAAACTGAACATAATGAAGAAGAAGATTTTCTGGAGCAGAAGACTGAGAAAATTTTTAAATTCTACAAATTCAGTTGTGCATGTAACAAACAAACAAAAAGAGGTAGAAACCAGGAGGCAGATTCATTACACATATTTACTCGTAAGTCAGTATCCCAGAATGCTTTCTCCAATTTTTATGCCACTACAAAATGCCTTTAATATAGAATTACTAACAGAGTAAACTCATATGAGCTTCAATACTGGATAACTTCCAAATACAGATACTTAGATTCCAAATTGCTGGTAACCTTAAACATTTATTGAGTTATAAATTATGTTACTTTATGTTGATTTTCAGCACTAAGAGGAATATTTTAAGCAAATTTTCAATATTAATTATGGGGCACAAGAAAAATGTTTTCTATTATGGAAATTGTTATAAACTATCAGAGAAAGAAAAAGTTTGGGAAACAATAATGGAAGCAAACCACCCAGGGCATAATAAAACTCTTTGCCTTTGGCCTCTGGTCATAGAACAGCCTTTACGCAGCATTTGAGAGCTTTATTTCAAGTTCTTAAGCAATGCCTAATTTGAGTGATGTATAATTTATTTTCATCATCATTATTTTCGAGATGCTATTCAACAACCCCAACCCTTGCAAAACCTGTTTGGATGTCAGAAGTGTCCTTGTATTTGTGGCTGGACAACACATGTAAGAGTGCATAGCTTTCTGTATGCCACTTGGTATGTTGTGTTCATATGTATTATGGAAGGCAGTGTCAGCACATATGCATCATCCATGAAAAATTTATGAAAATGAGGATGACGTTGATGTCTTGTTCCTTTTCACCTCTCTTCTGTCACCAAACACAACTGTTTTTTAACAATTTAAAATAAAGGCATAGACATAATTTTTATGGACCTTTCTTTCAGAACAGTGACCCTGAGTTCCAGAACTAGCATTAATCATCATCCATATAAGACATTGCTTCTCCTGGTGGTGAGAGAGTGAGGAGGCCTTTCCCTATCCCTATAGGCTTCGGAATGGCAGCCTGGGGTCCTTGCTGACTCCTCTTTCTGAGGCTCCAGGCCATAGCCATTAGTTCTGTTAGCCTGAAAAATCAAGTGAAGCCTGAATCACTTGCTAAACACAAGCATATACCAAACCTGTCTCTGATCTTCATACAGAGGAATCCCAAATAAAGGAACTGACCAAAATATTTCTCATTCCTTTGGTGTTTTTCCATATTTCTACAGATCTCCATGTTAGCCTGGAAATGAACAGGATGATGAGTCCACCGAGGAAAGTCACAAAGGAGGAGAGAATAAAAGCTGCTTGGATCTCAGCTGTGCAGGAAAATTTCCCCATGTCTTCCTTAACAGCCTGGTTAGTTAGAAACATATTTGAAACATCAGGAGACAGAATTGTCCTGCTGTTCTATGATGTCATAATCACATGGTAACAATTCCAGGAAGTAGAGTTGGCTGTACCTCAGCATTCTAATGCTGGGTGTGATCACCAGTAAGGGGTTCCAAGAACAAGGGTCTGTCAGGCGCCCACATGCTGAGTCACAGGTTGCAAGTCAGTGAACAGCTAGAGACAGTAGGGCCCACAACATGAATAGTTAGAAAATGAGAATTCTAGCTCTGATTGTATGGACTTTCTCTATGACCTTGAAGAAATCACATCCTCTGTGGCTGTGATCAGGTGGCTATCTATTCAGTTTGTTCAGTTAAACAATTTCAAAACAACTTCTTATGAATGAAATGACATCCAATTGTGTGTGTGTGAAAGAGTTAGTTCTCCATCTGGAAGGATGTCACATTTTCAATTATCTTGGAAGAACAGAAGAGAGAAATATTTCAAGATGTTTGTTGATCTTTTAAACAAAGCAGCATATATGCAGGATGAATAAGTCTAGAGATAAAATATAGGGAATACAGTTAATAATACTGTTTTGTATTTGGCATTTTTGCTGTAAGAGTCGATTCTAGGTGCTTTTGCCACACATACAGAAAAGGTTAACTTTGGGAGATGACACATATGTTAAGTTTGCTTGACTGCACTAACCATTTCACTGTGTATTTTAAAACATCATGTTGTGCTCACACTCACATTTGAGACCTAAAAAAGTGGGTCTTCTGAAGACAGAGTGGATTGGTGGTTACCAGAGGCCAGGAAGGGTATGGGAAGGGAGAAATGAAGATAAGTTGATTAATGGGTATAGATATATGGCTCAGTAGAAGAAATAAGGTCTAATATTTGATTTAAAAAGAAAATTTACAAATTGTACACTTCAAATCATTTAGAAGAGAAAAAGTCAATTGCTCCCAGCATAAAGAAAATACAAATATTTATGGGATTGTTATCCCAAGTACACTGATTTGATCTGTACAAATTATACGAATGTACTGAATTATCACATGTACTCTGAAAATATGTATACCTATTATGGATCAATTTTTTAAAAATCATGCTGTATTCCTTAAGTAAACATAATAATAAACATATTACCTTGAAGTAGGAAAAAAAGAGTTGTGTTTATTCTTTAAATAAGAAAAGCATAGTATAAAGTGCAGGTATTGTAGAAGGGAAGTATGACCATTGGTTGATTGTTATCTGAGCCGATTAATCTATTCCCCTTCTCTGTGGGATCCTCCCCTCTCTTGCTTTTATCACTACCCTGTCAGCAACCTTTTGGTACAGCAGAGGAAAGTTCAGAATGAGAACATTTCCTTTCATTTTCCCTCATGTTTTCAAAGGTGTAAGAAATGTCATGCCCTTCAGTGTGCGCGAAGGGAAGGAGGAATGTCGGAGCACAATGGAAGGCCTAGCCCACCCCAGTTATTACGAGATAACCTGACATGAGGTGATGAGACCCAGGAGAAATTGTGCTGTCCTTGGGAGCCCGCCATGACTCTTCTCCGTGTGGCAGATGATTTCTAGAAGATAACTGTAGGACTTCCTAGAACTGCTGTCACAGTTGTATTTTCTTCTTTTAAGCTTACCTATCATTTCTACAAAATCCTGCCATTGAGATAGCTAATGATGTAGGATGATATTAAAAAGAACTCTGGTCTAGGAATTAGGAGTCCTGAGTTCCAGGCCTCCTTTTTCTATTAAGATACTGTGTGATATCTAGAAAGTCCCTTTAATTTTCATATTCTGATTTTGTGTGGAAGATAATATCTACTTGATAGAGTTATTGTGGGGATTCAATAAAGTAATGGAAGCATATTTTGAAGAACATAAGACTCAGTACAGGAAAAGACACCAGTTCTTTTTCTGAATGGCATTACAAAGAAAAGAGAAGGGAGGGAGGGAGGGAAGGAGGAAGAAATGGAAGGAGAAAGTGAGGGAGACAGGGAGGGATCATTTGTTTATCTCTCGCTCTCTCTCTCTCTCTCTCTCTCTCTCTCTCTCTCACACACACACACACACACAAACACATACACAACGCACACGCGTGAGTGCGCCTATATAGCTCTTTGGAAAATAAGATCAGAGTTTCCAAGTGAAAATTCATCCACATTATTCACTTAGTCTGTTCCCTCTTAAGTAATGATAAGCTATCATCAATTTAATTTTCTCACTTTTTAAACTTTTGCTATTTAATACCATATTTTGAAACAATTATGATTTTTGTCACTGGGCTTTTTACTTTTTGCAGAGAGTGTCCTATAAACACAGAAAGACTCTATTCAGTTCAGTCAGGCAGTTGTCCCTCTAATAACGTTTCCATAATCATCATAATAATAAAATTTACTTCTGTGGATGAGTCAAAAATTATCCATGTGTTTTCAAAATAAGTCTCTCCAAACTCATCTTGAACATAGGATGAACAACTGTCCCTGTTTGTTCAGAACTGTGCCGCGTTTAGGACCGAAAGTTCAATACCTGGGAAACTACACAGTCCTGGCAAACCGCAAATAACTGGTCATCCTGTATCCCTTGATGCCTTGTCTAGGCTGGGCTCAAGTTACACTGCCTCCTATCAGTTCAAGAGAACAGGCAAAGTCTTTTCCTTCTCCAGACCCTTACAGCATGCTGCCTCGATTCCTTCTACCTAGGAATCCTTCTACACTCATCTGTAGAGGCTGTTATTTTGTCATCTTTCAGGTCTCCACTTAAATGTTCTATCCCTTCCTACTGACCGTCCTATGCAAAGGAATCCCCCATCACCTGCCCCATTGGTTGCCCTTATGGCAATCTGACCCTTTCTTTCATAACATTTCATAGTACTCAAAATATGTAATTATGTTATTTTCTTACTACCTGATTTATTCTCTATTTTCTCTCACAAGACTGTGAGCTCCACAAGCACAGGGTATCATTCCTACTTGACTCATCACCGAGTACCCTGTGTACACACCTAGTATTGCACCTGGGTACACACCTGTGAAATTGTTCAGACTTCATAAATATTTGGTAACTGAATGAATAAATTGTAAAGTCTCAAAAATATTCGTTAGATGAATGAAATACTGAATCTCTACACAGAGCTTAACCCAAGCTATCCACACTTCTCTCCTCAACATTCCCACTCTGCAAACTCTTCTCGTGAAGGACACACCATCCATAGTATGTAATATGCAGGTCATAGTGTGTACATGTGTGAGTGTGTGTATGTAGTGGAAAGGGAATCTGATTTGGATCAAGTGCCATTCAAAGTGTTTTCATGTTTGCTGGTAGGTTTAAATTTGGTAACTTTTCTTAGAGCTAGTGAGTTATTTTGTCATGGTGGACATGTGCAGCTAGGCAAACAGATATTTGTAGATTGGTAACAATTCAGTGTTTGGAACATGAAAAGTAGATAACTTTGAATCAACAATATCCTGGACAATAACTAAGAAAGCACTCTCCTTGTACTTAATGGTTTAATAAAAATGAAAACTATAATAACAACTCTTTTGACTACTTCCTACTTAGTCAGAATCTTGGTTAAGTGTGTGTGTCTGTTGAACAACTACTGTGTGCCTTTGGGAAGCTGAGGTGAGTGGATTGCCTGAGTCCTCAGGTTCGAGACCCGCCTGGGCAGCAAGACCTCATCTCTACAATAAATCGAAAAATCAGCCGGGTGTGGTAGCACGCGCCTGTAATTCCGGCTACTTGGAAGGCTGAGGTGGAAGGATCGCCGGAGCCCAGCAGGTCGAGGCTGCGGTGGCCGGGAGCGGCCACTGCACTCCAGTCTGGGCGACAGAGTGAGACTCCAACTCAAAATAAATAAATAAATAAATATATAAAAAATAAAAAAGGCACTTCTGTTTTCTGCAGTTCCCTCTTTACTGTACGTGGACAAACCGCAGCAAGGCATTCCACTGTGCCAGGAACTATGAGCACTAACAAAACAAATCTAGTCCATTCCTCATAGAAGATATAGTTGACTAAGGAAAACATTTGCGATTACAAACTATGAAAAGTGTTTGGAAAAGCAAGCAAACAAAAAAAAGTAATGTAGTCCAAAGAAAGAGGTCAGGAAGGCTATCCTCAGTCTGAAGCTGAGGTCAGAAAGATGAGAAGCTACCCAGGCCAACACAAGGTTGGAGAGGCTGGGATAGGCATTATTAGGCTGGAAAACACTGTGGGAGAGAGACTGAAAAGAAAAGAGAGCAGCCAGATGGAAGTGATTGGATTTCAGTTGCAAATGGATCACTCTGGTTTCTACACAGAGAAGACACTGATCTAGACAGTGATAGGATGTGTGCCCTGGTGGGATGGACTTGTGAGACACAAGTGAGCAGGTATAAGTGATGTTCAGAAAGGAAAGTTGATGTTTGGAAAATGAGGTCCTGGAGGTGTCAAAGCTGACCCTGGGCCTCTGGATGGTACCACTGGGAGGCTATTGGAGCTTTTCACTGCTACGTCTTTAAAACTAAATCTAAGAATGAAGACTGTGCTACTGAAGATTTTGTTGTTGTTGTTCAGATGAATTTTTAACATGTCAGTGATTTGATTAGAAAAATTGCTTTACTTTGTACACATCTCTGTAATTTACCTCTGGGCACTCAAATATTCTAGACAAAATTATACTTTATAATGGGATTGAATAACTGTTTAATTTTTAAAATTTACTCTCTTCAAGAAACATGACATATCTGAGAAAGGAAAGTAAAAATTACATTTTTATGTCTATATAGCAGTGCTCATGAATATGTATGTGTTGTATGTTTGCAATGCTTCTGAAAGTAATGAATTATATTGTGATGTTACCTCTTAAATGCTTATATTCATCTATTGCACTTAATGCTATAACCTTACATTTTTTTCTATTTCTACAAGCAGAGGTTTGTTTCATGACCTCAAAGAACATCTACACTTTTGGGCAAAAACACCGTTGAGAAATACTAGGCCTCAATTCATGCAGCTAG